TTAACAGTGAGATTGCAAGGGCATGACCTAAACATCAAAACTGTGACATTAAACTAATGTTGTATTATTGCTTAGACAATCCCTTTAATAATGATACTTGCCTGCTAACAGTCACCGGTAAAATATTTCTTGAATGTAAAATGGTTGTTTACTGTTAATTTATAACATACAATTTTGAGATGTTCTTTGCTTAGATGTGATCTGTTACACTCTGCTTAACGTTAAATAAAGAATTTTAAAAAATAAAGACACTCACCATATGATTCCACATGTATAATTATACAAAACATTTTATATGTTGCATAGTCATTACTCCTGAATAGATTTGTAAGCAAATTCTTTTCCTTAAATATGTCTTATCCTCATTAGTCAAGGTGCCTTCTATTTTAAAACTACCAACAGTGCTTTACGATATCTACAAGTAAACCAAGTACAAACCACTGTGGGACCTCTTGCAATCTTGGCATGCAGTTATCACACACTATGCATACCTGCGCGCGATAACTACTCTACACAGTTTGATAAAATGTATCTTTGAAGCTTATAAAAAAACACAAAGTGGTTTTGTATTCTGATTTTGTCTTAACATAAGCAAACCCTGCAGGCAATAAGGTAGCTGATGCAAATAGTAAGAGCTTTCGCAGGAGGGCTTTTCTTCACCTCGTCTTGTAAAATATTCAAAGGATACAAAATTTAGGCAGGGCAAATGGAGACCTGTGGAGGGCTTCCAAAAAAATAGTCGAATAAAAGCTACTGTACATCAGAGAAAAGTATGCTTGAGGCGACTATTTCCTTCATTTATTTTTCTTTCTTTTTATTTTGAAGATGATTGCTTCTCCACTCAACCTCCCCCTGTGATTAAGAAAGATGATTAAAATGTATCTCTACCCTTTCTCTGACCTGTTATGCTTTGTGCAGTAATTTATTAGCACTGAGAGCATTGAGCAAAGAAATATCTGGAAAATGTTAAACATATCAATGAAAGGAATTCACACATCTCTGCTGTTATATTTTTATGTTTCTGATATTAGACGCTTGTCCCAAATTTCCGAGGTCTGTGTCCTTCATTTGGATTCTATCAGCCTGAGAAGAGCGAATTCTGGTTATTAAGCCATTATGCTAAGCACATTTCAATGAGGGCTTTTGGTTTTAACAAGTGAGAAAAAATGCTCTCATAAGAAAGGCAATTTTCATTAAAGATTCATTATGAAAAAAATTACCTGCAGTTGAAAAGTATGAAAAATCTACTGATTCATTTAGCTAACAATAATCCTCCAGCAATTAGGAAATGATTCTCTAGAAAAAGTATTTCTTCTTCCCAGTCAATAGGCCTCATGTGGATTAAGATTATGAAAAATGCTTTGTTTTACTGCAGGTGAATGACCTATTGTACTAGAGTCCAGCGTGGCATGAAAAGACCTTGCTGCTGGCATGCTGTATCAGATGGAACCTTGTTACCAGGGGAGGCTTTGTGCTTGGTCATCTGTGGAGAAACAGACCTCAAAAGTCTTCTGTCCCTTCGTATGTTCTCGAGTTCTGTTATTTTCAGAAAGAAACATTTCTTACTGGTGGCTAGAAACCCACCTGTGGATTTCAGTGTTCGCAATCTTTTACAGTATAATAGGAGTTAAAACACATACCGTTCCCTCTCTATCCTATTTCTGATCATGACCATTGCATTCATTAATTAAATTAATTAAAATGCCTGTACCATAAATGTATTTCTTGAAGTCACTAACGTTTGGGTTGAACAGGCATTATTCAACTTGATGGCCACAAAAAAAGTAAAATGCATCAATCCACCATAGATTAATAAAAAACAACCATATTATTATTATTTGACATTGAGGTGGGACATGCAGAGGAAGCACTGGATCAACACTTAATCAGGAATTAGAGTCCAGCTACTGCAACACTAGTTCCTTTGCCAGCATTCTGCAAAAGTAGGAGATCTATTGTTTGGCCACCTCAGTAAGTTGCCCAGGAGTACAACAGTGTCCAAAGCTTTACACCACACATCACTGGTGCACACATACAACAAGAGTACCCCAAAAGCTTATAACATACAATTTCAGCATCTATTTCATGGATCTCATTTATCCATTCTTGGATTTATTTACTAAGCACTAAACTGAAGAGTAGGGACATTCCAACATTAGAAGGGAATGCAGTTCTTTCTAACTCTGGAGGGTTCCTTTTAACCATTAGATTAAAGGTCCCACTCAAGTCTTATTTAACTCAAATCCAGTGGCAAGATGATCCCATCACTGCATTTCTGCTCTACCTCTGGGTGATCATCACATATGATCATTTCCTGACCAATCCAATGCTTGTCATAGAGAATACTTCTCTATGAGATGTCCTCACTTCCACCTAGAGTGCTCAAGCTGAATGAGCATAAGAACCCGCTTAGTTGTCTGGTTGAGAGCCAGTATTTTTTTTTCCAAGGGGAGTTAAAAATATATATATTTCTCATGAAATAAGCACTTTTATAAAATAAGGCAGCAGGGACACTCTGTTAACCCATAAAAACACATAGTTCAGCAAGCTGAAGTACTTTAGGAGTTTAGATAATTCCTTAAAACTAGTCAACCTGTGACGAAAATTTTTCCAAAGCAACTGCTCCAGCCAAAAATGTGCAATTTGGTTCCCAATTGCTATAACTAAAAGTTTAGTGAATAAATAGTTCTGACTCTCTAGGGTTTATATAAATGGTGAGTTGAAAACAAAATTGCAAATTTCAAGATAAAATAGTCAAGAACTGACTTTGGCTGAGATAGAAAATCTTTTCAAACTGCCATTTTAACCATCATTTTGCAATTTATATTCGGTTTACTAACTTTCATTTTATTAGTTTGAATATCAGAGTTACAGGATTATTCACTAAACAGTCAATTGTTGAGAATTCACCAGAGAGATCAGCTATTCAGCTGACCTACTCTGGCCTTAACCGCAATGTATTGTAGACGAAGTGTATTGTTTATGAATAAGCCTGTGTGTTTCAAGTTATTTTATCATACTGCTGACTGTATACTTCACAATGTGACTATAAGGTTAACTCTAAGCTATGCAAAACCTGAATAGCTATTGTATATTTCCCTCGGATTTCATTAAGTGTTGCATGAATTTGTTTATTTTACAATGTGAACAGTGAACTCTTGATACTGGAAAAATGATATAAAATGGATAATTACAGAAGATCTAACACATAAAAAGGTGAAAGAGGAAGGGGACATGTTTATGGTATAAAATACAATAACAAGCACCAACAAAGATTTGAACTGAAATGTGAAAAGCTATTATTACCTCAATTAGTACTCTAATAAAAAAGAGTTATATGTATATATATTCATATGGACAGTCTCCCCACTGTATTGATGACACAAAACACTTTGCCATCATCTGCAAGTCTATTGAATACTGTGGGTGCAGACCACAGACAATGTTCCCTATCGGTCTGTGGCAGCGACCTGTACAGGACCTTTCAGAAAGATCTTTAGGTCCCACCACCAGCCTGTGCAGCAGCAGAGGTTCCCAGCAGAGCCAGCGCTTTTATGGTATCACCGGCCCTGCTGCCTAGGACCCCAAAAGGGCACATGGAAAGAAATTAAATTAGATCGCAAAAACAAATTTATTTTGCAATATTAAAAACCAAACTATATTCGGGCATGGGTGTATTGTTATAGTGAATATTACACAGACACAGTACAGTATCCCACACATGTGCAACATCATACATACATCATACGTGCATACAACAGTTCTAAGCTATTATAAGGCCTAGGTTAGCTATGAAATTTCAGGCATGTCCTGGATGATATTCTGAGCACTGGAAAATATTCAGATTTACTGTAAATTGGTAGTTCTGTTTATATTTTAAATGCATTATCTCCATAACCCATTACAAATCAGTTGATGTAAAACCATTCTAGTATGTCATTTTATGTTAAGGAAAAAATATTCAGTGGAAAACAGAATGTAGAAAATACTTTTGTTGTGACCCAATTCCTTGCAGGCAGGTCACAAACAATAAAAATCTGCAATCCTTGGAGAGAAGAATATACTGGTGTGATATGATTTGGAGAATCCCGATAAAATGATACAAACCTAATAAATATAGTCCGTAAAACCTTAGTGAGTCTAGTACTGTTTTCCAAAGCAAACTCTTCCCTAGAAAAAAAACTGATTCACAAGGAATTGAACTCACAAACCACATGGGAAGCTGGTTTATTGAGATTTGTATTTTATGTTTATTCACTACACATCAACTTATATTGGGTTTTATGTTTTTCAAATCAACAATTTCTGCTTACAGTTTGAAATTTGTGATTATGCATAATGAATAAACTCCATTGACTGCTATTGAAAGAAATACACACACAAACAAACACACACACACACACACACACAAACGCACACACACACACTCATATTTATAAAATATTTTACCAGGAATGATACATTGAGATTTTGCTCGTTTTCAAGTATGTGCCCACAAACACCGCAGTGTTACAATAGGGTACAATATTGTATTACAAAAAATAATAATACAATACACAATATATTTACATATACACATATATAAATGTAACATAACATGCGATAAATATAGTCATCCATGACAGGTGCATTCTGTGTTGAGGCATGTTGCCATATTTTAAATGAAGATTTGACTGTGTCCCTGAGGTTACTCCATAACTGCGATGCTCTGTAGGAAAATGAGGATCAAGCCACTTTATTTTTGTATTGCGGTATGCTAAATATCGTACCGGTGCTGGAACAGAGGTTATAGAAGGTAGGAACAGCTGGGGAGAGCATTCTACTCAGATAGGGTGGGAGCTTCCCAGAAACGCTCTTACACACAAGGCAGGAAAGATGAAGAGTGCGTTGAGATTCTAGCAATAGCCAGTTTAGCTCTTTCAACATGTTGAAATGGTGGGTCAAGTAACAACATTCTAGAACAAAGTGGCAGAATGAATTATACAGTGTATGAAGTTGAAGGTGGATTTGTGGTGCAGGTGCATAAACTATATCCCCACAAGCAATGATCGGCATTAGCATTTGCTACATCTGTTTCCTTACTGTAGGGCATGCATAGGTACCTTCGGCACTCCAGATGTTTTGGACTACACCTCCCATGATGCTTTGCTAGCATTATGGGTGTAAGAGCATTATGGTGGATGTAGTCCACAACATCTGCAGTGCCAAAGGTTGCCTATCCCTGCTGTAGGGCTTACGCAGGATTTGTTTCTGTACATGGCACCTACTTTTGGATAAAGTTTTGAAGAGAGTTTATCGATGTGAAGGCCAAAGGATAGATTGGGGTCTAGCAACATAGCTAGATATTTGAAAGAACAGACTGTGGTCAGTGGGCTATTTGAATTTTTTCTGATACATAGTTGTTGATTTTGCAGTTTATGTAATTTAGGTACCATTCCAAAGATCATTGTGAAGTTTTGCCAGTGTTCAGGAAGATATATTTATATATTATGTCGTCTTGCTCAGAAATGCTTCAGACTTGAGAAAGGGAGGTTCTCCCGAAAGCTTGTCATTAAAAAAATCCCAAAAAGTCCAATAAAAAAGGTATTACAAGATACAAATTTTATCTGTTTTTTTACATCTATATATTTGCAGGATAGATGTTGTTAGAAAAAAAAACATTACATTCTGTGAGACTTAAGATTGCTGTTTAGTGAGTGGAGGGGTGCGCTGGATCTTGTGTGTTGTGTGAATTGGCCCCAGTAGCACCCTTTTAATGTATGCATGTTCAAGTGAGTGCAGCCCTCTTGATTTCATCTATATATATTTTGACGTCCAGGCCAACTCTGTCACAGGTGCCTCATTCCAGGGCACCATTTAACTTTGCCATGAAGAGAGTCCCAGGAGGAAGCAGTTCCCAAGTGAGTGGATTAATATCATAGGACCAGACATTAGATTGCTTGGATAGGACCTGCCAAAAATGGGGTACATTGGCATTGTGGCATCTTTAAAGTGAAGCTCCGTCTAGTGACCCAGTGCCATTGGAAGCCGTGCATGCCTATGCCTTTTACACTGCCTCCACCATGGTTTACAAATGATGTGATATGCTTCGGATCATGAGCCATTTCAAGACTACTCTTGAAATAAATTATGATTTTTTCTTCCCATCATTCTGGTACAGGTTGATCTTCGTTTCATCTGTTCCAGAACTGTGCTGGCGTTTTAAGATGTTTTTGGCAAAGTCTGACCTGGTCCTTCTTGAGACTTATGAATGGCTTGCACCTTGTGATGAATATTTGTTCTTGTAAAGTCTTCTCTTTATAGTAGACTTGGATAATGCTATGCCTATCTCCTGGAGAGTGTTCTTCACTTGTCTGGATGTTGTGAAGGTTTTTTTTTATCTACCATGGATCCTATGATCATCCACCACTGATGTTTTCCATGGACATCCAGGCCATTTTGTATTACAGAGCTCACCAGTGCATTCTTTTATTCTCAAAATGTACCAAACTTCACTTGCATTGAGAACTCCTTTGACCGCAAGAGCCTTCAAATGTGAATGCCACACCTGAAATCAACTCCAGATCTTTTAACCACTTAATTAATGAAGAAATAATTGATGTTCCCAATATGCAGTGGTTAGCACCTACAAAAGTGGTGCAAGAAAGGACAACTAGTGAACCGGTGTAAGGGTCATGGGCCCCAAGGAGCAAAGCCTAGCACATCTGGTCTGATCACACAAAAGAACTACTGTAGCTAAAATTAGTGACATTAGTCCTTGAGGATTATTTACTTATAAGTCCCTTATATATACTTATTTACTTTACTTATTATATATACAGGGAGTGCAGAATTATTAGGCAAATGAGTATTTTGACCACATCATCCTCTTTATGCATGTTGTCTTACTCCAAGCTGTATAGGCTCGAAAGCCTACTACCAATTAAGCATATTAGGTGATGTGCATCTCTGTAATGAGAAGGGGTGTGGTCTAATGACATCAACACCCTATATCAGGTGTGCATAATTATTAGGCAACTTCCTTTCCTTTGGCAAAATGGGTCAAAAGAAGGACTTGACAGGCTCAGAAAAGTCAAAAATAGTGAGATATCTTGCAGAGGGATGCAGCACTCTTAAAATTGCAAAGCTTCTGAAGCGTGATCATCGAACAATCAAGCGTTTCATTCAAAATAGTCAACAGGGTCGCAAGAAGCGTGTGGAAAAACCAAGGCGCAAAATAACTGCCCATGAACTGAGAAAAGTCAAGCGTGCAGCTGCCACGATGCCACTTGCCACCAGTTTGGCCATATTTCAGAGCTGCAACATCACTGGAGTGCCCAAAAGCACAAGGTGTGCAATACTCAGAGACATGGCCAAGGTAAGAAAGGCTGAAAGACGACCACCACTGAACAAGACACACAAGCTGAAACGTCAAGACTGGGCCAAGAAATATCTCAAGACTGATTTTTCTAAGGTTTTATGGACTGATGAAATGAGAGTGAGTCTTGATGGGCCAGATGGATGGGCCCGTGGCTGGATTGGTAAAGGGCAGAGAGCTCCAGTCCGACTCAGACGCCAGCAAGGTGGAGGTGGAGTACTGGTTTGGGCTGGTATCATCAAAGATGAGCTTGTGGGGCCTTTTCGGGTTGAGGATGGAGTCAAGCTCAACTCCCAGTCCTACTGCCAGTTCCTGGAAGACACCTTCTTCAAGCAGTGGTACAGGAAGAAGTCTGCATCCTTCAAGAAAAACATGATTTTCATGCAGGACAATGCTCCATCACACGCGTCCAAGTACTCCACAGCGTGGCTGGCAAGAAAGGGTATAAAAGAAGAAAATCTAATGACATGGCCTCCTTGTTCACCTGATCTGAACCCCATTGAGAATCTGTGGTCCATCATCAAATGTGAGATTTACAAGAAGGGAAAACAGTACACCTCTCTGAACAGTGTCTGGGAGGCTGTGGTTGCTGCTGCACGCAATGTTGATGGTGAACAGATCAAAACACTGACAGAATCCATGGATGGCAGGCTTTTGAGTGTCCTTGCAAAGAAAGGTGGCTATATTGGTCACTGATTTGTTTTTGTTTTGTTTTTGAATGTCAGAAATGTATATTTGTGAATGTTGAGATGTTATATTGGTTTCACTGGTAATAATAAATAATTGAAATGGGTATATATTTGTTTTTTGTTAAGTTGCCTAATAATTATGCACAGTAATAGTCACCTGCACACACAGATATCCCCCTAACATAGCTATAACTAAAAACAAACTAAAAACTACTTCCAAAAATATTCAGCTTTGATATTAATGAGTTTTTTGGGTTCATTGAGAACATGGTTGTTGTTCAATAATAAAATTAATCCTCAAAAATACAACTTGCCTAATAATTCTGCACTCCCTGTATATATATATATATATATATGTAAAGTAAATAAGTAAAGCTACTTGATAAACTTACTTTCAGCTGGCTTAAAATAAAGACAGTTAAGGGCCAAAAAGAATTTCTCATACTCTCAAACTTTTCATACCTTCCTGAGTATGTTTCCTTTATTTTAAGTGTCAATTTTAAGAGTAAATCTTAAATCTTTATTGGACTTTTGTTTGTAAAATTTGTTGTTTTTTTTAAATACAGTTAAAAAATCTTCAATATCCACTTAAAACAAAATTATTTGAGCTTGTGTTTCTTCTCCTTCAGTCCCTTCTCTTAAGTCCCATCCTGAAAACCGAGGTTCAGACTAATTAAGTAATATTTAAGACAGAGACACAAACTAATATTTAATTATTGTCAGAATTAGTGAAAAAATAATGCAGATGTTATGTTTTCATCATCTAATTATAAAGCAACATGAATGTTTGGAGATCACTTTAATAAAAAAAAAAAAAAAAAAACACTTCTATCCAGAACTACTTTTGAGCTGGATCTCTTCCAAATAACTGTATTCCTTTCAAAGCACTAGATCAGCCTCAGGCGGATTGATAGAGTTGCTTGAATCAAGAAAATGCCCAGTGTGGCCACACAGGAGGTCTATCTCTACAGATATATCCTCGGGGGCACAACTGATTCTCCTTCCCAATTCCCTTTGTCAAACATATCATAAAATTATTATTGTTTTCAATGTAATCTACATTCCTGTTCTCTGTTGTCCAAAGCAAAGAAGGGAACAAAGAATAAACACAAAATAAGAAAAATACAAAAAGACTTTTAACCTTGGAGTTGGTCTTTTTGTGCATTAACATCAATCATTTTTTTAAAGCAAATTTCAGTAAAATATTCGAAATCAGAGCTTTCCTAATGAGGTATTTAAAGACTGTGTGCACACCGGCTCTGTACGAAAAGATATATTAATCAGAGATTTTGAAATATGTATAAGTGTTTGTTGTGAGATAACACTTGGGTGAAATTTTGCTGCACTGGTTTTTGTTTCTGTGGCTCCAATATATCTTTATTAGTCTTGTTGGTTTTAAAACTATATTTAAATATTTATTAAATATATAATATATTGATATGGATTTTTTATTGCTCCTTTTTTTCCTCAATTGGTCACTTCTCACAACATTTAGTGGCTAACCCCGAACCATCAGTCATCTGTTTTTCCATCAATCATCTTTTCATGGCCCTGCAGATTGAAATCCGAATCGTAAAACAAATGAATATACTTATTCATTCTTTGTTTCATTTATGTCGTGATTCAGTTGTATAGCAGTTTGGAGTTATAGAATTCAAACAACTCGCTGATCCCAAACTTTGGACATATCGCGATTCATTTGAAACCCAATGCTCATGTCGTACATACATTCTTATTGGCAAGGATTAGACAAGGAGTTACAAACATTAGGCTTTGGTTGATATTGCCTTGGTAGTATCATGTAGTTCCCCCTAATGTTTTGTACCTCATCTCACAGTTTTTCCATACCACCTTACTGTAAAGTACTCTATTAGATTGGGATCTGCCAATGTAATGAATGTAATGAATTACACTAAAATCGTTTTGGCTGATATAGCCAATGCATATCAAGGTGCTATACACTGATTGGTAATAGATGCTCTCCAGCATTTATAATTTACAAACATTTTTGTTTTGACACCGTTGTCCTAAGGTTTTTTTAGTGCCACTTAATACTCGGTAATCACTATAGACTGTAGTGCATAAAAATCCAATTTGGTTAGCTGTTTAAAAAATGCTGAAACCACTGTGCTTAGCATGAAAAAGCATACCACATTGTC